CCTCCCTCCCTCCCTCCCTCTCTCTCGCTCTCTCTCTGCGATCTGATCTCCGTCTCCTGCATGATTAGGCTCCAACTAAATTTGTTAATGAGCCTGCCAGTAGATTATACGCCACACCCGGTGCCCCTCTGCTTCCCGTGCCTAGGCCGTATCATGCGGGCTATTTACCAGAAGGGTGATGCCAAGCTGCGGCATTTGGTGCAAAGCAGCTTCCCTAGTAAACGTGTGGATGTAGGCTCCTTGCAGCATCTGCAGGTTTGTAGAGAGACGACCAAAGATTAGGACTGAATGACCAGAAACCTGAAGGTTTTTCCTCGGTTCTTCGAGGGTTTTCTGACGGACAGTCTTCTCGAGACGCATACAGGGCAGCAACTGTCGAAACCGGACTGGCTCCTGTTAAAACCGTTTGTGATCAGATTTACATTGATGGCGCATGATGGGCGGAAACCTGAAGCCAAAATCGCAAAGAGGAAATGTTCTCTGAATGTCACACCTAAGGCCACGGAGCCAAGCGATGGGCACAGCGAATATCAGGCAGCAAGGATGTGGCGCAGCTCGGGTCCGAGACTGGTGTTGGCACTGGGCCTCAGCATTGAATCTACATTCTACAGGGCCCAGGGCGCACCCCGTGGCTTGAAGCACTCCCAGCATCAAAGTGTCCCATTGCGTCAAGTGCGAAGTGCAACCGAATGTTGCTCATTACTGATACTGCTCTTGAAACATCCCACCAAAATCATCAGCTTGGCGCTAGGTGTGGCATCTACCGTCAAGCTCACAACGAGAAGGTGACTATCGACGAGCTCAGCCACTTGTTCGAGGGAGAGCATCTGGATTTCTGTAGGCATATCGCACGTACACATTGTTGGTAGAGTTGTTTTCGTTAGATGCATCGAAGCATCCGCATCTAATAGCTGGCGCAGCCAAGAGATGCTGATGTAGCAGTATTTGTGAGGATGAAGCCGTTTCTCGCTACTCCTCAGCCCCACAGTTGAAAGTTGTTGAATGACATTACGTGAGCGGCTTCAGCATGCTTCAGCTCGTTGTAGCCGTTGCAGGCCAGAGCCCTCAGGGACTTTGCATTTCCGTGCATGTTGTCCGGCATCCGTGTTGACGACGTCGGATTCCTGCTCGAGAACGATGCAATACCGACGATCGAGGTCAAGAGGCACAAAGCCTCCTGGAGGAGCTTCAGAAGTCCGAAGGTGGGACCTTCACACGCCGTGGCACTGGCTCCCACTGTTGCTTACAGAGTCATCTCTGTGCCAGGCGAGAAGGATGATCCCGATCTGGAGTGGCGATTGAACGAGACGCCCGGCATTGTTATGGATCAGTGTGGAACAGCAAATCTGCTGTGCGTGGCCTTGCGGCGTGTGCCGCAAGGAAGCTGGTGGAGGTTGCGCTGCACTCAGCACCGAGTGAATTCCGCAAGGATCAGGGAGTTGGCTCGAGTATCCTTCATGTACTCATAGCGTACTTCGGAGACGCATGATAAGATACTCGGGATAATCTTTTGGAGCTGTCGGACGTACATAACCGACATAATCTTGTGGAGCCGTCGGACGTCCTTGAAGCCCGCGTCTTACAATGCTTTTTACTGTCTCACCTGTTCGTCCGGCCTTGCAGCGTGTGTCAGTGTGTCAGTCAGCGCGTGTGTGTGTTCACGAGTGTGGTGCGTGTGTGCGTGCCGTGCCGGACGATGTGTCAATGAGGTGGATGCCCTGGCCGCAGCAGATGAAAGTGGTCCCGGTCGTTTGGCCCTGAACTTCTTTTCTGCTCGTGCTCGTCGCTTCTCGTCCGTGCTGCCAAGCATGAGGTCTTGCCCCTGCAGAGGGCCTTTTCGCTTTGCGCGACCTATTGAAAAAGCTGGGTGCTCAAACAGCATGCTCCAATATAGTACGTGGCCTCGTGGCGAACTCCCGATAATAGCAGCACCTGGCCTCGCATCTTACTGACGTCGTATGCCCAGCGGGCCTTTCTGTATCCACGATCAGGACTGAAAGGGGAAGCATTGATGAGGAGCGCTGCACCGCCTTTGAATTGGAGAAGGCAGCTTTGCTCGCAAGCGATCGCCCAGGGCCACTAGAGGCTTCGTGCCGCAAGGGTTATTCAGGGAGCGCTTCAGGCGAACTACAGCTCAAGTCCAATACAGTCCAATCGCACATCAGCTGCAAAGCGAGTTGCTTCTGCGTGTACTGACAGTCACTAGTAGGTTTGATGGCAGTGGTTCCTGGTTCCCGGTGGAATGCCGCAGTCCAGAGCGATATTCAGGCTGATGTGCCTGGGCAGATGCTGCGCTATTTGAAGATGCAGCCTGTGCATGACACGTCGCAGTCCCAATCATGCAGCCTGCTGTGTGAAGTCGGCACATGCAAGCACCTCGAATCGTTCAAATGCGCAGTAGCAGAGCATCACGCAGCCGTTTGGCTTCTAAACTTGCACGAGCTACAGATGGCAACCGAATGCCATGCAACGCCTTTCCAGAGGCACTCTACGTGGAGGCTCCGCGCTTAGTGTCGAAGGCATAAAATTCCTCTACTCATGGAGCGACATGTTCTGGGATTGTCAGGTTCTTCAGCTTCATTACATCTCCTGCAGCGCCCACTCCACCGGGTCTTCGTCTAAGAGCTGCAGTCATGGTCGCAATTGTCGTCTAGAGATGTCCAGAGTGTCTACAGTAGTGTTCAAGAAGGCGGGCATGCAGACGTTCTGTGCAGCCTGAGCAGCACTTGTTTTGGCCGCAGAGTTTCGCGGAATCACAGGTGTGACGCTGCTGCCTGGACGATGCAGTTTTTTTACCAGCTACGAAATTAGAAAGCATTTTCAAGCTCGTCATCTTGCTCGGCTCCTTTGCGCGCAGTGGTCTTTGGCATAGCGATGCCTCTTTCTCCGCTAAGTCCATACCGGAACGAACTCCACGCACTGCAGTGCAGCAGCATGCGAGTCAAAGGTGCCACATGGTGCCACTGCTAAGCAACCCAACACATCGAAACTCTGTTGCTCGTGACGTCTGCGGGTCTTACAGCCCAGCCGCTATCCATCATCCATCCACGGCACGGCGCCGGTGATGACTCGCATCGGCCATATGTGACGGAAGCTGTCCTGTGCGTAGCCACCGGCCTTGCTGAAGCAGTTTTGCCCTCGCCCTGCGCTCGATCCGGGCAATTCGCTTCAGGGCCTTCCTGTGACACTGGTAGCATCTTCCTCCACGATGCCCGGCCTGCCTTCCACATTGCGGCATTGAGGTCAGGATTTTCGGCCGACGATCTCTTCCCATGCATTACTTGCTGCGGTTCACTGCAGCTGCAGTGTCCTTTCCCTGCAGCATGTCGACAGGTTGTCCGTCCGACATCGGTCCAGGTTCCAGTGTTCTCTACCAGTATGGCAGTTGCGCTTGTAGCATTGCCTAGGGGGCGTTTATCTGCTCGAGATTATTTTGCTTGCTCGGGTTTCCTTGTTACGTGGTTGTCGACAACAGGAGCCAAGAGGATACACGTCGGCGATGTCTTGTGCTTCAATCTCGACCTTGCGCGCGGAAAGTGCCAGCAGGTTTTGTGCCTAATGGCAAGCTTCTGTGGTATCAGGTGCAAAGCAAGATCCCAGACAGAGTCTTCTATTGGATCAATCGATCGGTCATGGGCTTACGCACTGAGAAGTCTTTGCACGTTGCATGGCAGCGGCTTCTGACTGAGTGCATGCAGCGCAGTCGGCCCAGGTGTTCGATCAGGCTTCGTTGAAAGTCGAAGATGTTCTATGTCACGGCGTGCCAGAGCAAATTGTCATGAATGATCTGCGAGGACGGCTTCTTGGATTGTAGCGGCGTAGCGTGCCAGGTGCTTGCTTGTTGCCATGGCAAGAAAAAGGGTTTGTGATATCAACTTCGGATGCCTGGAGAAGGCCAAATCGCCGAGCAAGATGCTTTGAAGTCCTTGCCGTCTGCCTTCCTATTGGTTCTGCGATGCTCTTAGCAGATTCGGAATGATCTTTGTGCCTGATTGTAAAGTGGTGCATCTTATTGTGATTAGCCAGGTTGTATACCTGCACTCTATTGAGCACAAGCTCAATTTCAGATGTTTGGGCGCTTCAGCATGCGGTGAGCTACGACATAGTCGAGAATGCCGGATGCTGACAAATTCTCAGAAGCCGTTGAAGTGTGAACAGACTTCGAGCAAGTACTGGTAGAGTTTGCTTGTTGCCTCGAGCAAGGCCAACTTCGGGTTCAGCGGGAACCACGGCCACCAGAGCCTGCATGATGTCAACACTTTTACGGCCCCCTAGCAGCCCAGTTATCCTGAGAGGTGCCCGGGGGCATTGCATTCATGAGTCTCTTGAGCTTAGGACTTCTCCTCCTGGCTGGAACTTGGCTTCGGGCCCTTGTTCTTGTCGAAAACGAAAGAACCCAGAGAAAATAGCAGCGAGATCCCCGCGACCATGAAGCCGGAGGAGTTTGATATGCAACTCGTCCTTGGCGTGGCTAAGCCAGTCTAGGATATGGGAGTCTATTGACAGCAGCTCGTCAGCTAGTTCAAGCTGGGAATTCACTTGGCTAGGTATTTGCTCCACATGCGCAAGGCGGGTGGTAGTAAACTGCACCCGCTACAGGCTACTGGGAGCAGCACAGAGGAATCTCCATTATTGCAAGTCATTTCATCTGTTTCGTACGACCTTCGGAACTGACAGCAGATGCCAGCAAGGAAGCTAATTCGTGTTATGATACCGTGGGGAGCTATCTCGTTTGGTGCAGGTCGGGCCAGTCAAACTGGCACAGATGGTTCTGGCGCCTGGACCCTGCCGAGCACCAGGTTGATTGCCGATTCTAAAATGTAGTGAAGTCCATGCCAGTCAGAGTGCAGGGGCCTGATGCGAGGTGCAGACTTGGTTTCAGCCGCACTGCACATGACAGCTGTACCTCAAGCAGAGTTGTCGCGAATGATAGACGAAGGATGCTTCGTTAGCCTGCTTAGCTTCGAACCTTCCGATTGCCCGGAACCCCCATTCTGCAGGCTTGGCAGAAGCCTACGGACTGAGCTGCGGTGTGCAAAACAACGAGTACTTCATGGAAGCAACTGCAGACGAGCTCTTGCAGAACAGCTTCGTGGAAGAACCTTGGGCTCCAGTATTCAGGACGATAGTTGTATTTCAGCAACGTCGCTGACACTTTCATGTTTGATCGCGAAGTCGGCTAGGGAGACATACGAACGCTGCAGACAGAAATGGCGCTTCAATTCGACCGGTGCGACTAACACCCTAATCTTCAGAATGAGTAGGCGTCCAGTTGCAGTTACCGGCACCAAACCATACCACACTGCGCAGACTATTGTTAGCAGGCAGGTTGTTTGCAGTGTTATGACCAGCATTGCGCTGGATGCTGGAATTGAGCTCTAGCGCAGAGCAAACGGTTCGCTACGGTGAAATCACCGTGTTAAGTTGTCGCTCTTTGCTGCAACGTTGGTTCGAGCTCCCGTGACCCAGGAACCAAGTCGAACAGTTTGGCTGGCAAATTTGGGACCAGATGGACACTTCTTAGCCAGAGAGCCAGCCGATTTCTGTGCAAGCAGCTCGGCAAATTCTGACCCGGGTTGTCCACATTTCTGACACTCCCAGCTCCCAATGCCAAACAGACGATAAATTGCTTGCGGACTCATGCACAACGAAGCAGAATTTGGAGAGAGTGTTTCCCGTACCTGCGGCGAGCTCTGGAGTGCCTCGACTCGAGTGACTTTGTGGAGCCGCATTGGGGCTTGCCATTGCTTGCTGTTGCAAGCCTAGGCAGGTGGCTTTCTCGCGACACTCTTCGTGCCCGTCTCACCTTCGCAGTCTACAGCCCTGAGCTGGACATGCTTCTGCTCACGAACGTTGAGCTACCAAGCTGTAACATACCCTTTTGGGTACAGCATGTACGCCGCCAGTATGGTACGGGTTGCCGAAGACTTCTTACGCCCTCAACGTGCCCCCTAACGGACGATTTTCCTTGACCAGGTTCATGTTTCCGAGGACTGGCCACATTTGGAAGGAGAGGGAACCCACTGCAAGTCATTAAGATGCCCATGCAGACTCACAGCATTCGGGTCAGGACATCACACATCGAGCATTACAACTGTCTCCGTTTGAGACATGGTCGAGCTTGACCTTCGAGGTGATGTTCTATTCTCTGATCACTGTTCTTCTTCTGACAGAGATTTGGGAGATCTTCTGTCTGGTTCGAAGAATGAGAAAGAATAGACCCTCGGCACATCTAAAGCGCACTGGTCATGCCCTGCCGGGAACCATGTCTGACAACGTGCAATGGCAAACGTGTGTCAATCGACAGTTCTCGTAACAAAAGGGATCAGAAGAGACATGGCGCAATCACAACTAACGATCCCAACAAGTTTGTCATTGCTCAAACGGTGGTCGTCTTTGCAGAATCTTGCATGGTGGATGTCTTAGGATTGGATTGGCGAGGCTTCCTCGGCCTCTATCTGAACGTCTGGAACTGCAACTTTGGCTTTCTTGGGCATCTTTTTGTTACTCGCATTTTGAGTTTCAGCACTACGAGGAGAGTGGCCAGAGCTTCTACTTGTCGAGTCTTCTTTTTCGGACAACGTGGCATCAGTGAAAACAGGAAGATGGTCTCGTTGGTTTTGTTTCTACCCCGCGACCATGCATGCCCAGTGGGCTTCCGACCTGAATAGCCTCAGCCTCTCCTGAAGAGTCCGAGTGCGCACATCCAGCTACGAAAGTCACGTCCACAGCCCTTTGATTTTTTTTTTGAAGTCCATTGTATTTCTTGGTGAGCTGGCAGATGGCAATGTGTGTTCGGAGCCAGTCTATTATTACTGCTTTTATTCTGGGGTACCTGACAATCGATGGTGGAGCTTTCTGGTCGACTCACTTGGCCTTGGCATGTTTACTCATGCCTGCCTGGGTCATCACTGGGCCTCTTCTGGCCAAGCTAGTCGTTCGTGTGGACAGTCAGCTTACGTTTTCAAGAATCCTCTAAGACACGAGCAGGAGATGAACGATTCCATCAACTCACCAGAACGCACATGTGGCACGAGCGGTCTGGGACTGTTTTTCGCTATGGTTCGCCTAGATGTGCATCCGGTATCAGCCCGTCAGCCGCATCGAGGTGTCGACTGGTGCTGTATTGTTTTGGCGTATTTGCTTCTTGGCTCTCAGTTGAAGAAGGCCTGCCTTCAAGCCGGGATAGCCACTTCGTGTGATATACATCCCATCACATTGACCGTTTGCAGAAGCATGTCCGTTTGGCCAGGCATCATTGACGATTGAGCTCCGAGAAGGCTTAGAGGCCACCCTGGGCATAGAAGGTACTCGCAGGCTGCAA